GGCAGTGGGATGGGGGAGTGGAGGGGCACGAGGGGGAAGGAAGGGCTGGTGGCTTGTGATGGAGGCACTCCTATGGTGCAACAGTAGCACTGACCAAGCTGCTGCTCCTTTGGTGACCACCTGGGGCAAATAGGATAGGATGCTTCTTTGCAGAGCTTACCCTGGGTTTGGGCGGGTGGGGCTTTTGTACCCACCAGGACCCAGAATTTCCACCACTTCCTCAAGCTGGCCCTAACCAAGAACCCCAAGAAGAGGCCTACAGCTGAGAAGCTTCTGCAGGTGGGAGGCAGGGGCTGAGCCTGGGGACTTGGGGCTCAGAGACAAGGCCTGGAGGACAGAGAGTAACCTCATCACCCCTTGCTCCCCCAGCACCCGTTCACGACCCAGCAACTCCCTCCGGCCCTCCTTACTCAGCTCCTCGACAAGGCCAGTGACCCCCACCTGGGAACCCTCTCCCCTGAAGACAGTGAACTAGAGGTAAGAGGGGCTGGGAGCTGGGTCAGCCTGGCCTGGTGGGAAGGTGGTATAAATCAGAATTTATGTGACCTGTGGAATTCCAGCAGAGCCTCTCTTTAGTCAAGCCCACTGCACATCCTCAGGCCCAAGCCAACCATGACTGTGACTAAGCGGTCCTCCTTTCTGTGTGGCCTTTGGCAAGTGTCTTGATGTTTCTGTGCCAGTTTTCCCATCTGTGAACCGAGGGCTGTTTTATTTCATAGTAGTTTCAGAGGGCTGTCAGGAGAACAGGACACCTGATGGGGTCAAGACCTGGAAGAACCCGCCCCGGTGGCAGGAGGTGAGTGCTGGATGCAAATCTGTCTGTTGTTTGTGTTCTTTCTTAGACCCATGATATGTTTCCAGATACCATTCACTCGAGGAGCCATCATGGTCCAGCTGAGAGGACCCCCTCCGAGATCCAATGTACGTCTTCTGGCTGGGCTAAATGCACCCGAGGATCTGGTGTTATTTTGGGGGCCCATTCTGAGACTTTAACCCCCTCCTAATCTAATCCACTGGTTCCCTAGTTCATCAAGTGAAATTTGGTGCTCCTCGCCGGAAGGAGACAGATCCTCTCAATGAACCGGTGAGGCACTGGCTGTGTGTGTGGAGAGCAGATTTCAGGAGCAGAGGAGTTGGGTGTGCAGGTGCAGATGGAATATCCCAAATCACAGCCAGTCTGAAGCAGGGGTTGCCAGTGTCACCTGGGGTCCCAGGCTGGAGGCTACCCCTGGGCTTATGTCACCTGGGGTCTTGGGCTAGAGGATCCTCCTCCACCATTTTCCTTTAGACAGCACTGGGAAGTGGAAGGCTGGCCACACCATTTTGAAACCTAGGTTTCACAGGACAAGAGCCACATTCCTCAGCCTGCCTGTTAGCGGATCATGTCACCCTGTCTCCTCTTACTGTCTGTCACTACTTCCTTTCTCTGACCCCACAGCGGCCAACTCTTTGCCCTGCTGGCTTGCTGTCTTCCTCCATCTCCCTGTCTATCTTTTCTCTCTTATTTTTATTGTTTTGGCTTTCACAAGTCTTTGCTTGTCACAGAATAGTCTCCATCTGTCTATCGGTCTGCACTCTCCTGCTTGCGCTCTCTCTCTCTCTCTCTCTCTCTCTCTCTCTCTCTCTCTCTCTCTCTCTCTCTCTCTCTCTCTCTCTCGTTGCTAATGTGAGCAGGATCCTCTAACTTACGCTTGCTGGCCTTGAACTCACCCTAGAGTCTAGGGATGCCTTCAATTCCGGGTCATTCCTGGCTCTCTCCTTTCATCTCTTGAAATCTCTCTTTTTTTTTTTCACCTCTCTTCTGGTGTCTCTGCCTTGATCTCCTCCAGTGGGAGGAGGAGTGGACACTCCTGGGAAAAGAGGAACTGAGTGGGTGAGTGAACAAGGCTGGGGAAGCTGAGGGGCAGGTTGAGTCTCTCGGAAGACTGACTGTTGACCCCTTCCTTGGCCCAGGAGCCTGCTGCAGTCAGTCCAGGAGGCCCTAGAGGAAAGGTAAGGGACCCACGCCTGGGGTGAAGGAGGGTCTCCAGGCCTGGGGGACAGTCCACCCTCACCGTGCCATCTGCTGTGTCCCTATAGGAGCCTGACTATCCGGCCAGCCTTAGAATTCCAGGTGTGGATTGGAAGAGGGTAGAGCTGGGAAGTACGCTGTGTGCACAGAGCACTGTGGGGCAGAAGTGCAGCATGGGGCACCTCCTGATGGCCAGGCTGTTTCTGACCCTCTTGCCAGGAGCTGGACTCCCCAGAGGATGCCACTGGAACTATCAAACGGGCCCCACTTTTGGGGCTGTCCCACACTGACTCAACATCTAATGACAATGCCCAGTCCTGCTCCGCAGGTGAGGTCCAGGGTTGGCAGCCCACGGGGAATTCTAGGGTACGGCTGGGGCTTGGAGTCACAATGGTCTGTACATATAGGTACCCTGTCAGCACCTCCAGCTGGCCCTGGCAGCCCCCCACTGCTGCCCACCGCCTGGGCTACTCTGAAGCAGCGGGAGGATCCTGAGGTGAGAGGACAGCAGAGGGGTGGGGGTGGGGCTGCAGGGTGCCACCTAGGCCCTGACTCCTTCCCTCCCTCACACACAGCGGTCATCCTGCCATGGTCTTCCTCCCACCCCCAAGGTGCACGTAAGTGTTCACTGGCTGTCCCCAGGCCCTCCTGTCCTGGCATTGCCACTGGGTCCCTTACCAGCTATTCACTTCCTCCCCAGATGGGCGCCTGCTTCTCCAAGGTCTTCAATGGCTGCCCCCTGCAGATCCATGCTGCTGTCACTTGGGTTCACCCTGTGACTCGAGGTGGGCCAGGGGTACAGCAGAAGCAGTAACTTAGGACACCCTTAGCTTAGGCCAGGAATGTGTGGCAGCCTCTGACCTTATGCCCATGCCTACAGACCAGTTCCTGGTGGTAGGAGCCGAGGAAGGCATCTACACCCTCAACCTGCATGAACTGCATGAGGACACGTTGGAGAAGGTGAGGCTTGTTGGCTTTTGGGGGCAGAGGCACAGGATGCTGGGTGCTGACTACCTGTCTACTGTCTCTGGTCTCAGCTCATCTCCCAGCGCTGCTCCTGGCTCTACTGTGTGAACAATGTGTTGCTGTCACTCTCAGGTAGGAGGAGGCATGTGCAGAGGCAGCTGGAGCACCATTCCCCAAACTTTCTCTGAGCCCTAAGTGGTCTTCTCTTTCCACTTCAGGGAAGTCCACACATATCTGGGCGCATGACCTCCCAGGCCTGTTTGAGCAGCGGAGACTGCAGCACCAGGCACCCCTCTCCATTCCCACCAACCGCATCACTCAGCGCATCATCCCCAGGTCAGCAGGTGTAGGGTACACAGAAGGTCCAGAATAGTGCCTGCTGGTGGGACTCCGCCCACTCCTGAGACTGCCAGGGTCTTAGCTAATCACTTAGGCACTTCCCATCTCTGAAGCTGTTTCCTCCTGGTTAGTAGTTGGCGGTCTCCCCTCCTGTCCACCTGGTTTATTGAAATGCACAAAAGGATGTGATTGTGAACATGCCCTGTGGATTGCGTAAATTGTGGGCTTCATCCTGCAGTTGGTGGCCCAGGGCTGGGCCTGGTAATGCATCAAGAGAAACCCTGCTTTGGAGAAAGGACATGGGCATTCATGGCAGACTGCTTGGTTCAGGGTAGGGGTGGGGGTGGGGGGAGAGCTGGAGAGAGTGATCTGAAAGCCAGCAGGCAGAGACAGCATTAGAGGGTGCATGTCAAGGCTCTGGGGGAGGGGAGAGTGAGTGTAGGTGAGACCAAACAGCAAGGCCTGGAAAACCTATGGTGTTTGGCCTGAGGGCGGAGAGCCTCACAGGTGGCTGAACCCTTCCTTTATGCCTAGGACTTGGACTCTGTCCAGTGGACAGCAGTGCTATCAGCATTTCAAAGGATCTTATTGTGTACTGGTCAATATGCTTCCTGTGATGGATGCTTCAGCTCACTGTCTAAGAGCCAGGCTGGTGTGGCTCCTGCAGGAGAATATCAAAGTTTGAGGCCAGCCTGGGCTACGTAGGGGATACTTTGTCTCAAAAACAAAACACAGCTGGGCATGGTATTGCATGCCTGTAATCTCAGTACATGGGGGATAGGGGCAGGACAATCAGGAATTCGTGGTCGTCCTTGTCTACCTATTGAGTTTGAGGCCAGCCTGGGTTATGTGAGTTCCTGTCTCTGAAAACAGATATAGTGGCCATATCAAGAGCTACAGTAGACTGGTATCTGGGAAACAGAATGGTCAGGCCTGGAGACCAGTGCAGAGGAGCCCACTGCAGAAGCTAAGTAGCCCAGCACTGACATGCGGTATTAGGTTGCAGCTATTGGACAGGTAATTAGGCAGCCGGCCGGCACCTTCCTCATATGTTCTTGGCATTGTGCAGAGCTCAGGCACATCCATGGACTGAAGGGACCTTTGCCCCTTCTCTTCCCCTCTGTGTGTGTGTCTCTCGGTTTGTGTGTGCGTGCATGTGTTTGTGTGTGTATATGTGCTTGCGCGTGCGTGCAGAGGAGGTAGATGGTAGACCTAGAAAAATGAGGCTCTCTGGCAGTGATGGCTCAGAGCAAACACCATGGAGAAGAGCCGGCTGAAGAAGACTTTAAAAGTCTGTTCTGAAAGCCTGCAGTGAGAAAGTGCTATCTGAACCAAGACCAAGGACAGGGCTGAGGCTGGAGCTTAGGTGAGGTGAGGTGAGGTGAGGTAGCTTGCCTAGCATGTATGAGGTTCTAGGTTTAGTTCCCAGCACTGTACAAGTAACCTAGGACTTAGAGGAGTGTGGGGCTGGCAAGATTTCTCAGTGGTTGAGGATGCCTGCCACCTGATAATTAAAAGAGCGAGTCAGGCCCTGCAGGCTATTCACTGACCTCCACGTGTACACCTTGATATGTACACACCCGCGCACATGCACACATGTGTGCAATGAAAAAAATTTAAAAAATCATTTTATGTGCTTTGGTGTGAGGATCCAGGTGAGATCCCCTGGGTCTGGAGTTGCAGACGATTGTGAGATGACATGTGGGTACTGGGAATTGAACCCGGATCCTCTAGAGGGACAGCTTAGTGCTCTTAACCACTAAGCCTTTCTCTAGCCCCAGTAAATGTCATTTTCCAAAGAAGCTAGAGATCTGTAGGGAAGGCTAAGGAGAAGAGATGACCAGCACAAAGGTCTGGGGCCAGACGCCAGTCTGGCTTTCGTGAGGAACAGGAGATCATCGAGGATCTGTCTCTTCAGAGAGACCTTGGGCTTTGGCTTACAGCAGCCTGGAGGTTGCTGGTGAGCTGCGATTGGCATTGAGGTCTTCATGGGATCTCTGCTCTGGGTGAGGACTGAGCCCCTGATGAGGGAGGGGTCGGAGGCCATAGGAAGCCTGTTGCGGGGTAGGTGGCCAGCAATGGGGGTGTGGGCTGAAGTAAGAGTAAAGGAAGTGAAAAATGGTCTGGTTCTCCTTCTGTTTCACCAGTGGAGCCAGCAGGATTTTCTGGTGATAGGTGGGTGGCGTTTGAAAGAGAAAGGGGGTGAAGGTTGAGTGCAAGGCTTTTGACCTAGGCTGAAGGAAGGATGGAGCTGTCACCAGCTGTGAATGACGTAGGAGTCTGGGCTTAAATTGGTTTTGCCACATTAAGTAAATTATATGCCTGTCATTCAGCATTCAAGAAGTTGAGTCTGGCCAGGCAGTGGTGGCACACACCATTAATCCCAGCACTTGGGAGGCAGAGGCAGGCGGATTTCTGAGTTCGAGGCCAGCCTCGTCTACAGAGTGAGTTCCAGGACACCCAGGGCTACACAGAGAAACCCTGTCTCGAAAAACCAAAACAAACAACAGAAGAAGAGGAAGAGGAAGAGGAAGAGGAAGAGGAAGAGGAAGAGGAAGAAGAAGTAGAAGTAGAAGTAGTAGTAGTAGTGGTAGTGGTAGTAGTAGCTGTTGTTGAGGCTGGAGGATTACTGGAAGTTTGATGATAGTATGAGGCTCTTCTGAAATGGGGCAGGCCAGGCCTGGGGCGGCAGCCTTATCTACAGAGCTCACACCAAGCCTGTCTTGGTGCCTGTGCCCTCTGGGCTTCCTAAGCCTCTGTTCTGACCTTTAGGCAGAGAGCTTGCCAGACTTTGAACATAAAGAAGGGGAGAACATTGGAATTTTTTTTAGAGGAAACACCAGATGCAAAAGTATCAGTCCAGATATGCTGTGACCTACCCAGATGCCAGCTGGGGATAGAGTGGGAGGAAGAGGGAGGGCAGAGGTCAGCACAGCAGGGCAGACACCAGCATCCTCCCAGGGTTTGTTCTGGCAGGAGCACAGACAGGACCTGAGTCATGGGGAGCAGATTGCAGTATTAACAGCCCAGTTCCTCAGATGAAGAAACAGGCTCTAATGGTCAGTCCCCTGAGGGCACGGGGGACTCCCCATAAGACAGCCACCCACCTGCCCCACAGGGTCAGAGCCCCACCTGCAGAAGGCAGGCTATTTGCTATTTGAAGTCTTGACATCTCCCAGGGCCTGTTTGTCAGTCTTTGAAAGGGACTAGTACGGTCAAGCTGGGACCTGCCTCAGCTTCTGGTCTCCACACCAGCTGCCTCACCTGCAACTGAGGCGACAGGTAGAGGGGTCAGGTGACTTGTTAAAACTACACAGAACCTAGAGCAGTGGCTTTTACCAGGAATTCCAGCACTTGGGAAGACTACAACAGGAAGACTGCTACAAATTCCAGGCTAACCTGGGCTACAGAGTAAGACTCTGGGTAAAAAGTAAATGAGGGCTGGTGCAGTAGCTTAGCTTGTCAGGAAAAGGCACCTGAGGGCCTGAGATCAATCTCAGGAACCCACATGATGGACGGGGGACCAGAAGTTGTCTTCTGAATCTTTACATATGTGACATGATGTGTGTTCCCATAATCACTCAATGTAAAGAAATGCTTTATTTTTAATTGTTTTAAATTTATTAGTTGTTTGTTTGAGACAGGGTCTCTCTATATGGCTGTCCTAGAATTCACTATGCTGACCTTAAACTCAGAGATCCTCCTAACAGTGCCTCCCAAGTGCTGGGATTAAAGGCCTTATTTTAGGTGGGTGGGTGAGGGTGATAACCCATCTGGCACATATACAAGTGGAGGTCAGAAGACGCATTACAAGAGTAATTTTTCTCAGTCTAGCACATGGATCCCAGGAATTGATTGAGGTTGTAAGTCTGGTGGTAGCAGGTTCCTGTACCTAAGGAGTATCTAGTTAGCCCAGGAGAAGTTAAAAAAGAAGGAAACAGGTGTGAGGTGCTGGATTTGGTGCTCAGGTTTCTAAGGTCAGCACATGGGAGGACTCGGGAGCTTGAGAGCCACTTGGGTCACATGAACCTCCCTTTTCTCCGAAAACTTAAACGCAAAAGCGGGCTGGAAGGATGTCCCCAGGCTGGGAGCCATGATGCCCATGGAACCTCAGCGCCTTGCAGCTCTTGCAGGCACATTGCTGAGCCTCCCTGAGCCTAGTGTCATCCATAAAGCTAGGGATGACAGTGACCACCTCACAGGGCTCAGGGGCCTTGCCCACTGATGGCTCCCAGAACATATGCTGATTTTGACTCCTACAGGCGCTTTGCCCTGTCCACCAAGATTCCTGACACCAAAGGCTGCTTGCAGTGTCGTGTGGGTAAGAGCTGGCTGTATGGGACTGGGAGAGGTGCTGTGAGGCTGAGCCCATGCCTACCACCTCTTCCTCCTCCCGCAGTTCGAAACCCCTATACTGGCAGTACCTTCCTGCTGGCTGCCCTGCCTGCCAGCCTGCTTCTGCTGCAGTGGTATGAGCCACTACAGAAATTCCTGCTGCTGAAGGTAAGAGACCTGAAGGGCCCTTAGGGCTCAGGATGCCTGCAGAAGAAACAGAGCCAAGCCTCTCTGCTGTCCTCTAGAACTTTTCCAGTCCCTTGCCCAGCCCGGCAGGGATGCTGGAGCCGCTGGTGCTCGATGGGAAGGAGCTGCCACAGGTGTGTGTGGGCGCTGAGGGACCCGAGGGACCCGGCTGCCGAGTCCTGTTCCATGTCTTGCCTCTGGAGGCTGGCCTGACTCCAGACATCCTCATCCCTCCTGGTGAGCAGCAGAGCTGGGTGCTGCAGGGAGGGCATGCTTGAGAAAGTCAGAGAGTAGGGCTAAGGGCGCTTCAATCCTGGCTCTCTGATTTGGGCTTCCATGAAATACTTCATTAGACTAGCCTGGGCTCAGTGGCACAGACCTGTGATTTGAGGCTGAAGCAGGAGGATTGCATGAACCCACGAATAGATGCAGCCTGGGAAACAATCTGAAGTTATTTAAAAAAAAAAAAAGGCATGGTGGTATAAATATTGGCAGGCTGAGGCAGGAAGATCCTGAGTTTGAGGTCAGTCTGTACAGAGTTCAATGGCATGGGGCTGGAGAGGTGGCTCAGTGGTTAAGAGCACTGAATGCTCTTCCAGAGATCAAGTTCAATTTCCAGCAACTACATGGTGGCTCATAACCATCTGTAATGGGATCAGATGCCCTCTTCTGGTGTGTCTGAAGACAGCTACAGTATACTCATATACATAAAATAAACAAATAAATTTTTGAAAAAAAATAAGAGTTCAATGGCAGCCTGACCTACATAGTGTGGTCCAGTCTCAAAAGCAAAACAAGTCTAAACATGGTAGCACATGGCTTTAATCTCAGGAGGCAGAGGCAGGTGGATCTGTGAGTTCAAGGCCAGCTTAGTCTACATGAGTTCCAGGACAGCCAAAACTACATAATAGACCCTGTCTTTAAAAGTCCAAACAAATGAAACAGGCAACCAAACTAAACAAAAAAAATCTCATATGATTAAAGGGCTTGGCAGCCAAGGAAAAGCTGGCTGTGGTGCTTAAGCCTTAGCCAGCAGCAGCAGGAAGAGGGGTTCTGGTCAGGTAGGGAACAGACACTTAGCAGGGAAGGACACATCTCAGCCATGGAGAAAGCTTGGGCAGTGGGTAGAAACGGAAGGGCTGTTGGTGCCAGGAGCCCCTCGGGATTTCATTCCTAATTCTTGTGCTGCTTTTTATTTGTTTTTTTGTTTGTTTGTTTGTTTTGTTTTGTTTTTTCGAGACAGGGTTTCTCTGTGTAGCCCTGGCTGTCCTGGAACTCACTCTGTAGACCAGGCTAGCCTTGAACTCTCGAACTCAGAGATCCGCCTGCCTCTGCCTCCCAAGTGCTGGGATTAAAGGCGTGCGCCACCACCGCCCGGCCTTGTGCTGCTTTTTAAAGAATAGTATTTTTAAATTTGTTTGATGTGTATGAATGTTTTGCCTCCGTGTATGTGTACATACCCCGTGCATGCCTTGGAGGTCAGAAGAGGGCTACAAGTGACTGAGCTGTATGTACATGCTGGGAAATGCATCCTCTGGAAGAGCCGCCAGTTCCCTTACCCATTGAGCGTCTCTCCAGCCCCCTCGGCCGTAATTCTTACGACGACGACGACTCTGTAAAATGGGTAACTCATGTCTGAGTTACCAAAGAGAAAAGTGAAATTCAGAGAGAGGAAGTGACTTGCACCAGCCACACAGCAACTGAATCTCACAGCCTGCTTTGTCTGACCCTGGACCTTCTATAGGCTCTCACAGGACCCTGCAACCCCTTCCTGGGTCCTAATAAGCCTCAGGGCAAGTCCCTTGTTCTGAGTATGACCCCATGAGGCTAGTGTGAGGTGAAACATGCTATTGGTGTAGGGCTGGCTGTAACATGCCCCCTCGGTCCTTAGCATGCTAGAGTGGACTGGCGGCTCAGCAAGCCCGGCCTTGCCTTCTTTCTCTGCCCACAGAAGGGATCCCGGGTTCTGCACAGCAGGTGATCCAAATGGACAGGGACACAGTCCTGGTCAGCTTTGAACGTGAGTGGCAGTGGAGTGTGCTGGTGGGGAAGGCTTTATGGGTCTGCCATCTCAGCAGGGAGCCAGGCATCCTCCACCCACAAGCTCTCTCCATGTGCAGGCTGTGTGAGAATCGTTAACCTGCAGGGGGAACCCACGGCTGCACTCGCCCCTGAGCTAACCTTTGACTTCCCTATTGAGACTGTGGGTGAGTAAGCCAGATGTGGGCATGGCTCTATCCAGTCCAGAAGTATGTGGCTGGGCTTAGAGCTCAGGGCTGGCAGTGGGACCAGGGTAGATTCTCTATTCCCTTTGGGTAGCCATCCTGGATACCCAGCATCAGTGAGGACCCCTGTGGGTTGGTCGGGGTCCAGTTGGGGCTGGAGCAGCCACTGGACCTTGTGGCAAGAGTGAAGGGATTCATGGGGTGCAGGGGTAGTGTAGGGCTAACAGCCCATTCTTCCAGTGTGTCTGCAGGATAGTGTGCTGGCGTTCTGGAGCCATGGCATGCAGGGCCGAAGCCTCGACACCAACGAGGTAAGTGGGCCTCGGGTCCTAACTGCCTCCAACTCTGAGCCTCCTGATTAGAAAGGACTGTTGGGATGGTCTCAGGGTCCCTTGCCTTCCAGGTGACCCAGGAGATTACAGATGAGACCAGGATTTTCCGAGTGCTGGGGGCCCACAGGTAAGATTCAGGTGGTATGTGAAATGTACCTTCTATTTCAGATGCCACCCCCAGGCTAGACTAGGGTATGGGCTCACCTAGCTTTCCTGCTTTGCTCACCTTGTGCCTCTTCCCCCACCAGGGACATCATCCTGGAAAGCATTCCCACTGACAACCCTGGGGCACACAGCAACCTCTACATCCTCACGGGTCACCAGAGCAGCTACTGAGCTATCTCCCTGATGGTGCCCAGGCCTCGGTTACCACCTCCAGCTTCTGCTGGCATCTCAGAGGGCAGACCTAATTCTAAGAAATGTTTGGGGGCAGAGAGGAGAGGTAGCCCACCCACCTCAGCAATAACTGGACCGAGGGGAGCTGTGAGCACCTACCGTCCCTGGAGAGTTGTCCCCAGTACAGGAAGCCCTGGACCGGATGGGCTGCCTGGCTGATCCATTCCACTTTTTCACTTTTCCTTTCCATTCTTTCTGCCAAGAGCCCGTCCCAGGTTCTATCCTGGGCAACATGTATTTAAGAGAGAATTATATTGGTATTAAAACTGGTTGGTTTTATCCCACTAGTTCCTCTGAGGTAGAGGAGTTGAGCCCTCACCTTTTCTCCCTTCTTCTTTTTCTCCATCTTTCCTGCAGGACACCTTTCTCTAAGTACTTGGTCTCAGGCGCGCACCATGGAAGGGCCAGTCCATTGGTGCTCTGTGGAGTCTAGGCTCAGGTGACATAAGCCAATCAGTGGTCCCTGCGCCAGCAGCCCTCACTCAGTTGTGTTGATTGAGTCCTCTGCTGTAATCTGGCATCTTATGGACACGTGCAGGGGAACTCTAAGCAGAGACCTGTCCAGGGCAGCCTTGCCCCAAAAAGGGTCTTGACTGTGGTCTGTGGAAGCTAGCCAAGGAGCTAGCCATGTCCATGACCACTTCTGAGATCTGCACCCTGCCCCTGTCTATTGCAGTGTCCCATGACAAGCCTTTAATCACACAGTGAAGCGTCAGGTTAGATTGGGAAGATGGATGTGAGTCCCTTTAGTGTTCAGTCACTCCATACCAAGATACAGCTCAGGACCCAGGAAACTCATTGGCACGTATCTCCCCTGTGGTTTATGCTTTGTATTCTCCCTTAGTCCCCTTTTCTGTGGTCCCAGACACCGCCTGAAGGCCACTGAAGAATGGTGGGGCACACAGATAAGGGCTGGCCTGGGAGGGTTAAGGGGGTGTGTGGAACAAAGGTCCAGCTCTGTCACCCTCCTGACCTTTAGTACAAGGGTTGGCAGAAGGTGCCTGGTATGCTTGCTGCAAGTATTTGCAAGTTCAGTGAAGGAATGGGTGGGCGAGGGTGGGTAGGGGACAGCTCATGTAAGCAGAATTGTGGGCCTTGTGGTTATTACTGTCCTCTTGACTACCCTCTTCCAAAGCTCTGATTGGTTTCCAGTGACCAAGAGGTTTGCTTGGCTAACAGGAAGGCAGAGGAGGGAAGGGGACACAGTATTTGTCCTCAGGGAGACAGACCCAAAGTCAGCTGAGGGGCTGGGGGAGATAGGGCCTCAGAGTTAATACTGAGTTTCCTGTCGCCCAGATTTCTTGTGGGGGGTGGGGTGGGGTGGGGTGGCAGATGCTGGCAGTAGGGGTGAGAGGTGTTCTCCACCCAGCCAGCTCACAATACTTGATCCCAGGTGCACTGGGAGAACTGGCCTCAGACTTGAGAGCAGTGGACTGCAGACAGTGACACCTGGTGGTAGGAGTCCATCTGAAATGGTTTAGGTGTATAGTGTGCCAAAGTGAGGGGCCTGTGAAAGGCAAGATCCACTGATTTTGCTCCCAGCAAAAGTGGTGACACAAGCCAAAGACAGGGCAAGCCAGGACTATGCACTGAAAGACATGATTTTATTTATGTTATTTGTTTATAGATATCATTCTTCAAATACAAGATGGATTATAGGTTAGGCTGTGGTGGATGCCCGTGGTCCCAGTACTCAGGAGGTGGAGGCAGGACTGTGAATTGTAGTCCAGCCTGGTCTACAAAGTGAATTCCAGGCCAGCCAAGGTTATATGTAGACAAGACTCTGCCTCAGAAATAAAACTTGCCTTCTCATTTGTCCTCTAGTTCCTTCTAGAAGTATTTATGATATTTAAACAATTTGACATATTTTTATTCACATAGAAATATTCTATATATCCTTCTGGCTTTATGAAAATACATTCTGGAGATCTTTATCAATCTGGCATATTTTTTTTGTATAGTTAGTGCAGGATTTTATGCATTTCAGGTGACTAATGTTAACTGAAAGATCTTTATTGATGGAATGTATTTCTACTTTAATATCACAAACCACACTGCAATAAATAACTCCTGTGTCAGAGCCACTTTGTGTTTGTGGGGATCAATTCCTGGAAGTGGCATTGCTGGGTTGGAGTAGTTGTATTGGCCAAAGTGGGGTGCCATACAGATATCCTCTGTGGGTATTAGCTATGGGATGGGGCCTCCTTTTCATTTCTGTGGATAGAGATGCATCAGCAGTTATGGTGACTCAAACCTGTCACCCAGTACTTTAGAGTCTGAGGCAGGATTTCCAGACAGAACTATATGCTGAGACCCTGTTTGAAAAAAGCAGAACAGAGAACATGGGTGGGCTCATTACCATGTTCAACAAACAGGCCTGTGCCCAAAAGGCACATGGGAAAGCCCTGAAGTTGCAGAGGAGCCTCTGGAATAAGAAAGTGATGTGGAGCTTAGGGCAGGTGCCATATTCTCTGAGTTTTCCTCAGGATGCACCATCTGCTAAAGCAGGGCAACTGAACAGTCAAGACCTGCTGAAGTCCTGTCTAGATCAGGTTGGACTGTGGGCGTGTCTTTAAAAAAGAAGGTTCAGCCCACTGTAAGTGGCACTATTCCCTAGACAGGGTCCTGGAGTGGAGAAGGCAATCCTTTCTCTACTTTTGACTATTAATATAACTGGCTTCCTCAAGTTCCTGTCTCAGTTTCCTTTAAAGAATAGACTAGCTGGGCTGTGGTGGAGCACACCTTTAGTCCCAGCACTCAGGAGGCAGAGTCAGACAGCTCTCTCTGAGTTCCAGGCTAGCCTAGTCTACAGAGTGAGTTCCAGGACAGCCAGGACTACACAGAGAAACCCTGTCTCGAAAAACAACAACAACAAAAAAAACCCAAACCCCCCCAAAAAGAAAAACAAAACAAACCACAAAATCAGAATCAACCAACCAAAGCAAAACAACAAACACCCCCTCCCCAAGGGTTGGAGATTCCTTTGCTTGTAGAGAACTTGCCTAGCATACAAAAAGGCCTGGGATCTATCCCCAGCATCAATAAACAGGCAGTGGCTAGAGAAAGCCTATAATCCTGGTGCCCTGGAGGTGGTGAGAGGACGACTCATCCAAAACTTAAAGTAGTTTGAAGCCAACCTGGACAAGAGACCCTGTCTGGAAAAAAAAGGGGGGGGGCAAGCCTTAATCCCAGCACTAAGGAAGCAGAGGCAAGTAGATCTCTGGATCTCTGTAAGTTCCTGGCCAGCCTAATCTATGCAGCAAGTTCTAGGCTAACCAGGACTACAGAGTGTGTATGTCTCAAACAAAACAAAAAGTCCTAAGAGGATTCTACCCAATAAGCAGGAGTCTCACGTGTGGCCTGCAGGCAGAACCTTCTCACTTTTTCTTTTCTTTATGGCAGGATGTCCTTTTAGCCAGACTGGCTTTGACAACCATCTCTTTGCCTCCACCTCCTGAGTGCTGTGATTACAGGCATGTGCCACCAGCTCTGCACCTTTGTTATTTTTTTGTAGTACTACTACAAATAGAACCTGGGGCCTTGCTAGGCAAGTGCTTTATCACAGAGCTGTCTTTTTCTATTTAAAAGGGGGAGGGGCTCTAGAAAGATAGCTCAGTGGTTAAGAGCACTTGCCGATCTTGCTGAGAACCAGCACCTACATGGCGGCTCACAACTGTCTTATGATTCCAATTTTCCAGTTCTAGGGGGATCTGATCAAAAGGCTGTCTGTTGGTACCATGGCATGCACATGGTACAAAGATATACATACATATCTACCCAGGGGGAAGCACTCACACACACATTTGGTTTTTCTTTTTTTTTATTAAATAACATTTTCGTTTTTAAATGTACATTGGTGTTTTGTCTGTATGTATGTTAGTGTGAGGGTGTCAGAAGCCCTGGAACTGGAGTTACCGATAATTGTGAGATGCTATGTGTTTGCTGGAGTTGAACCAGGGGCCTCTGGAAGAGCAGCCAGTGCTCTTAACCACTGAGCCACTTTCCCCCTGGGTTTTCTTTTCTTTTCTATTATTTTATTTATTCATATTTGGTTTTTCAACACAGGGTTTTTCTGTGTAGTCCCAGAACTCACTCTGTAGACCAGGTTGGCGTCCAACTCAGAGATCTGCCTCCCAGTGCTGGGATTAAAGGCGTGCACCACCGTCCACTGGTTTTAAAGGTTTTTACTATTTTTAATGTGTTTATGTCCACATGTACATATGTGCATGTGAGTGCAGTGCCTGATGAGGCAGAACTTGTGAGCTACTTCACATGGAAGCTGGGACCCTAACTCAATCCTCTGCAAGAACAATTCCTATTCCTAACTACTGAGCCTTCTCTCCAGCTCCTCCTCCTCCTCCTCCTCCTCTTCCCCCCTCCCTCCCTCCCTCCCTCCCTCCTTCCTTCCTTCCCTCCCTCCCCTTTGAAATAGGTCCCAACAGCCTTGAACTCCAGCACTGGGATGAGGGAACTGAGCCACTATACTTGATCTTTTTGCCATTTCATAAATTAGCTTTTTTCTTTTATATGAGGCCTAACTATATAGTGTATAGCTTCAAATTCCTAATTACCTGCCCTAGCTTATGTCTTTTGGAGAGGATAATGCCTAGGACCAGCATTGGATAGGTCTGGATTATGAGAGGAGTGTTTGGGAGCAGTGAAAAGAAAACCTGAAGTCAAATTGTGGGTTTAAGCTGGCAGCCTAGATATGCTGAGATGGCTTTCCAGACATGCGCATTTCCCTCCCCCCCCATTCATCTGTCTGTCCATCTGTCCGTGTGTGTGTGTGTGTGTGTGTGTGTGTGTGTGTTCTGCTCTAGACAGTTTTTTTTTTTTAATCTAAAAACTCTGGTTGAGACAGCTAGCTTTTTGCTCGAGACAGCTCTCTGTGCTAGTAAAAATTCTAAAAGCTCTCTGGATAGCTCATGGGTTTTCTGAAGTCAGAATAACTGCTATAAAAAATTCTTGGGGCTGGAGAAATGGCTCAGTGGTTAAGAGCACTGACTGATCTTCTAGAGGTCCTGAGTTCAATTCCCAGCAACCACATGGTGGTTCACAACCATCTGTAATGGGATCCGATGCCCTCTTCTGGTGTGTCTGAAGACAGTGACAGTGTACTCAAATACATAAAATAAAACTTTAAAAAAAATTCTTGGATTTTCTGACTAAGTCCAAAATCCTGTTAGAAAAATTCTAAAATAATTCTTGGGTTTTCTGATCAAAATTGGAACACCTGAAAAAATTCTAAAAGAGCAGTGTTCACTCTTCAGACAGCCTTCTCTGG